GAGAGAGAGAGAGAGAGAGAGAGAGAGAGAGAGAGAGAGAGAGCCAGCCAAGCGGCTTGGTGGTCATAAAGCATTGAATAATCATGAAGCTAATCGCGCGACACGCGCGTTGCCTTCTCGTCGGCCGGCCAGAGAGAGGAAGGGAGCGACGAAGTCGCGATCCCTCGACGCATTAGCGCCAGTGCGCGCGCGAGTGCTCCATCAATATTAATAAGATCGTAACCGGACGGTCGGCGCACTGTATGCAGGGAGACCGCCGATCAGATGGCCAATTTGCCTAGCGGTTAGGCGGTTGGATTTTTCGTCTTGTGTCTCGCACCTTCTCTCCTTCCTTCCCTCTCTCTCTCTCTCTCTCTCTCTCTCTCTCTCGCGCTCTCGCAATGTGCACTTCACCTCGCCTCAACGCGAGAGCGAATCTAGACACGGGCTCGTCGACGCATTAATGAGCGGGTACGGCGTCTCGCAACGCGCCGTGTCGTGCTGCACCGAGTCGCCTCGCGGAATCGCGCCCGAGGGGACGTCGAGACTGAGCGAGGCTTAAAGTGTCGTAATAGCGACGTCGACGTGGTCCATAAACATTGGCCGAGGCACGTTGGAGGATGTGGAGTTCACTGGGAACGTGCACCGCCGCCGTTGCCGCCGGCGGCGGCGATGCCGACGCGCGCGGCTTCCTCTCAAAGGTAAACGGTATCGGGTCCGTTTGATGTTTGAAGTCGCCAACGTGTGGACAGAGTCCACCTCTCGAGCGACCCTCTCTCTTTCTCTCTTTGGCCAGAGCAGGCTTGGCTAACACGTGGCGGGTTAGATTATTTTTTGCCCGTCCCGTCGCCGGATAACTTTCACGTTTATCGACTTTGCATCAGTCGGAAATCAATTAAGACCGGTATTGATATTGAAGTGGATTAAAAGAGGGTTGTGAACGTACGGAAAGAAATGCAAATATTACACGTTATTGTAGACATGTAATAAAAATGAGTAATGGTTTTTCCGGGTGATCTTAGTTTCTGTTTTTTCAAAGAGTGGTCGCGTAAGAAAAACGAATGTCGTTAGTGTGGATACGTAACAAAAATGAATGATTAAAATAAATTCCTACAGCTCTGTTTTTTTTTATTATAAAGAACGGGAAAGCAAATATGTCACTGATGCGGATACATAACAAAAGCTAACGAATGAAATAAATTTCTACATCTCCGATTTTGTATTTTTAAGAGAGTGAATCCGAAGAAAAGCAAATATCTCACTGATGCAGATATATCAGGAAGGTGTATGAATAAAACAAATTTCTAGGAAGTTTGATTTTCCTTTGTTTTTGAAATTGTTTGGTTGTAGCAATTGTTTGGTTTGGAGTCGCAATTTGTCACAAAGCAATTCGGGTTAGCCAAAAAGCCTGGGCTGAAAGGAACGTTCTTTTTAAATCCCCAGTAGCCGTGACTCGCACGTCTCTCGGGGGTGCCACCGCTTTTCGTCGAAACGAGAAAGCGAGAGAAAGACAGGGGGACGGTCCGCGAGACGTCATTTTTCGGAGTGTATGAAGTTGGCACCCCATTTTTTGAAATTTATAATTTTGAAAGTTGTTCCAGATTGTTCTGACTTTGTACCACATTGTTCCAAAGTGATATTGCTTCATTCGAAACGGTTTTCGAATAAAACAAAAAAAATGATTTTTTGAGCTGGCACCCCACTTTTCGAAAATCGAACATTCTGATACCGCAACAGATTGTTCTAGTTGTTCCAAACATTGTTCCAAAAGCACAAATCAATAAGTTTAATTATAAACCCGAAAAATTAAAAAAAAGTTTTTTAACAGTCTATCGGACGAAGAGTAAACTTATACTATCTTTCTTGTTCCAACCGAGATCTCTTTGTTCTGAGATGTTCTAGGCTTAAGAATTATAGTTCTAGAGTATGAGACTCATAAGATCATTCGTTCTCCGAAAATTCGTAAAAAA